TTTCATTCCATCACTGACGTCTAGACTACTTGTGCTAGACTAGACTTGACTAGACAAATCGAGACGTATGAGGTGTCATTCAACGCGTCTTGGTCTCTTGATGGGGAACTTCTAATTTGTTTTTGGATCTCGCAAGCAAATTTGAAGGTATTTCCAAAAACTTGATTTTTGTGTGTTTTGGCGCTGCAATCTTAGAGATAATGTCAGAAATTAAACCAACGCCTCCTAAATCGATCTATGTACGTGGCGTTGATTAAATACTAGAACCCAAAGGTATTTTTTTTCTTATTACGCCATAATTTTATTTCACAACTTTGGCATCACTGATGTTGACATCTTTAAATGAACTATTAAAATACCAAGTAAATCGCCGTGTAGTTTGATTTCTATTTAGAGTCGAATTATTATTGTATGTTTAAAAATAAATTTGCAACTACCTACGAACAGTATTGCTTAGGAACGTATTGTACTTGAAGAATTTCAAGTGAATATGGAGAAAACAAAATTGTGAGTAATGCTAGAGAATGAATGAACGTTATGTTCGACTTCGCACTTTTACGTTCTTTCACAAGTATGCAAGTATGCAAATACTGTTTTCAAATGAATGTGACCCACAACTTATTTAAATTAACTAACACCTTATGCACATAAACACACAAGTCATCTTTTTATATTAGATTTGCATGCAACGCTAGATTCACATACAAAACGATTAATAGCAGTGAACGCAGATGCAGCGATGCAGAAATAGAAGTGAACACAAATTGGACCAAATTTGTGAAGTTTTAATCTCTTCAAAAATTAGGGGAGAAAAGTATGGAATTTTTAAAGAAATCCGGGGAAGAATCATAGGTAGTTGTAAAAGATGTTGCGATAGAATTCTTGGAACCAATTTGTAAGAATCATTATCTTTGCATCAGCAGTTAGCATTTGTTTTAATGCAAATAAGCTATGTGTATATTACCAAAAAAGCGTAACACTGTAGCTGTACTAAAGTTTAACTATTAGCATCAAAATCTGCAAATATGTGTTCGGCGATTATAATTTTGAAATTGCAATAAGACCCGTTCATATCCTGTATAGAGGTATCACACAAGGCCATTGAGTTTTGGGAATTTTTGAACGGGAGTGTAACATTATCAGCTAATATGATTTATTGGTAAATGCCAGATACTGGTCAATGCCAGATACTGAAAAAACATTTAAACAAAGCTGAAATGTCTGTTGGGCATGAAAAAATGAAAAACGAAAGAAATTTGCAACAAATGAGACTAATTTTAAAACAGTTTACAGCGTCGGAGACGTCACATTTTGCTACTGAAAGCGTATTACGGATGCTGTGAACGGTGTGACCTCCATGAAAAAAAAAAATTACAAAATAGTTATCATTCTTTCTACATAGAGCATGTAGAGAGAATGAGTGATAATTAGGGACCGGATAATTATGTACTAAAAATTGGGAAAATATGTTCTTATATATGTATTACAATATACAGAAATATGTACCAAAAGCTAAGAAATATGTATCTTCAAATCATTTTTTTATTAAAATGCTTTTATCTAAGGGCTATCTTGATATTGTCCTGTTTCATAATATGAAGACCAAAATTAAACATTATACTCTTTCTAATCCTATTATTCACAACTATTTCCGTAAGAATAAGAAATAAATATTTGCTTCAAATTTTTAGCAATGAAAAAGTTGACAAAAGAGACTTACATTTTAACCCGAAAAAAATTAGACACGAAGTTCGGTTTCGAAACTTCTTCCTATGAAATTCCCAAAATAATCGGTGAACTAAAAAATAAATATTCGTTCGGTTTTAAATGAATTTCCGGATCGTTAAAGACTTGTGCGCTTGGCATTATACACTAGTTAACTCATATTTAATGCATCCTTATACGCCGGAACTTTTCCAGATATTCTCAAAACAGCTAAGATGAAGCTCTTCAAAAAAGGCAACAAAAATTAAATTCAAAATTTTCGACCAATTTCTCTTTTGTCAGTTTTTTCAAAAATATTAGAGAGACATTTTTACGTACAAACTGAATCCTTTCTCAGTAAACACGACGCGTTTTCAAATTGCCAACATGGATTTCGAAAATAAAATCTACGGAAACAGCCATACTTGCCTGAGCTAATTTCTCACACAACGTTACCATTGCCCCATAAGGTTTAAGCCAAGATATCAGATGCCACATCGTGATTTTACTTCAGATTTTCAAACCAAAGAGATAATTTACAACCAACGGCGGAGGTTCGCATGTGGCAATCGGGGAAAGAAAAAATGTCAACGACACTAGCTGAGCTGGCCGAATAATTTCCGGTGAATGGTATCGAAGTCAAGGGATGAGAGATGCAAAGTGGGTGCGCGATATCGCCTACTAAATGTATCATTTTTACAAACCTAACTTCCCTTGTGTTCTCTGCGATACTCACGCTGAAACCCAACACACCAGAACCAGGGATTCCGTCGTCGATTTTCTCTTTTATTTGCAATAACGTCAGTATTTTCGGACAGACCCATTCCAACGCGATGTAGTAGCGGCATTTGAGAGGAGGCTACAGAAAAAATGTTTGACAAAGCTAAACTGTTTGTCTGCGGGATTCCTTATCAAAAAGACACAGGAAAATGCAAAATTAAATAAACAAACTGCAGTAAAAATAAAAAAAACAGTAATATGTAAAAATATTATTTTGAGTAAAATATGTAAAAATATGTACTAAAAAGTCAACATCTTTTGGCACTAACCGATATGAAACGTGAAGATATCATTGATTCGACTTGACAGAGTTACTTTAGGAAAATATGTTATTACATAATATCCGGGCCCTAGTGATAATCAGAGCTCGGATTCTGATGACATGTCATCTTTTAATTAGTGCATTCTTCACGTAGCTAACTTCTGAATGAATGTTTATCACGACATACAGATGACAGAGATGTATAGTTCTTTTGTCATTTTTGACGTTTTAAAATGTTCGTCATTTTTGGGACATATGCGTCATTTTAAGCGTTTTGTTTCCTTTTAGTGTTTTTTGTTAGTGAAAGTTTCGTGAATATACAATGACAAACTAAAACTAAGTTTTTATTGTATCAGTTCATGACAAAATTCACTACAGCAGTGGATTCTGTTTTTCGAACTTTCAAAATTACATGGATCTTCAGTAACTTCCTAGTCCTTTCAAAACTGATAGTTGGAAGATCGGATCTAAGGACTACATTACCTCCTAAAATAAAGACTTAATATTCAATATGTTTCTATATAAATAAGTTTTATTAAAAATTGTAAAGTTCATTGATATAACATAAAGAAACATCTTCACACATTTCATTGCGTGTTTATTCAAAAATTATTTTTAAGTCATTTTATAGGTAATTTTCAAAGAAGTTTTGTCATCAGAGTCCGAGCCCTGGTGATAATACACTTCGAAAGACAACTTAGTATTTCCAAAAGAAAGAAAAGACGTAGAAAGACCAAGGAAAATATGGAGAAGGAAGGAATGTGAGGAAGGGATATGCAGTAGCCTAAGCCGTGAAGTACAGAAGATTATTAGTGGAGGAATTATTACTGAAACACTACCTTAACGAAATGAGTGCGGGCCTGCCCGCAAAACTTTTATTCGAGTTCCCTTTCTAAAGTGTACAGCAAACACATAGGCGGGTTAGGACCTTAAATAATAAAAATATATATTAACAAATTCGAACTCATCAGACTATGATTAAACACCAATATTGAAAAATCTGCCTTTATGCTTAAATTTTATGAAATTACGATTTTTAAAACTTAAATGAATTGCTTTACTGTTTTAGAGACAGAGTTACATGAGCTACCGAAGCGGGAAAAAAATTTCTTCTGGAAGATGCTGTTTTTAGTATCAGAGAAAGTATCACGTAGTTAATATATCTTACAAACGCATACCTTCAGGCAAATGGAAGTAGATCCCCTTTTACCTGGACTCGCCCGCGGCGGGCCCGAGCCTTACGCCACTGCTGACACAATCCAGACTTCTGTATTGTGTCTGGGGAGACAGTTTACAGAGAATTCATAGGTTTTTTACTTTTAATCTCTTTATTACATACTATAGTATAGAATATATTTTTCTTTATTTTTTTTAGAATTAAGGAAAGTGTGTTTGTAAATATAGTATAGTTTCAATCTTCCTTAACCCTTCTAAAACTTCGAAAATTTCAAAAGTTCAAATATTTTTTGAACTTGTTCCACACCTCCGATACTTAAGCCTGAGATTTCTTTCTCACTGCCATTTGTTCTCCAGTTTTAGATCTATAATGATGTTGTGCACTTTCTTAAAAATGTATGAGTAGTTGTTGAATAATTACACTCAGGGATGACAAGTTTCAATATAACGTGCAATCCCAATAGTTTACTATTATTTCGTAAGATTTGTTTCAATAAATAATATTTATTATTGCTTTAAAATGTAAAAGTTACATGAATACAATTTTTAGAAATCATAATAGAAAATTGACAGTAGGGGAAACGGTACACTGAATAGAACAGAAAGTATGCCGTACGAATGAAATGTTGACAGACGATGCGACCGTTGGAGCCGAGTCATTTTTAATTGAGCATGCCACAGAAACCTTCGTACTAGTTGGGTACATTATTTTTGGGGCAGTCACTAGTAAAGCAATTTTTTCAGGTCACATGTTATTTGCTAAATGTTCAATTTTATTTGTTAATAGTGTGCTCATGTATTGAGATAAATCTGAGAATGCAACAACGAAAACACAAAAATTTCGTCTGGCAGTGTCAGCTACTACCAACTTTACTGTATCATTAAGTGATACTTGAATAAAAATAAAATGAATGTTAGTATGGCATCTAAAAAATAGAGAATGACACACGTGGTAAGTGATTTTATTTTGCTCCTAGGATTGCGCCACTCTGCCTACCGTTTGATTTCCTACTCGCAACATTTCCTACTCGCAAAATAAAATGTCACTTTTACCACTCGTATCATAAGTAACTATTTTAGTACAAAGTCGTGGACTCTAACAAATAGACCCTACTCTTGGGATAATTCGTAATATGCGATAAACAGTCATGTTGATTCATGTGGCAACATTGCTTTATTTACTTTGCAGTACTCAGTTGTTTCACATGTCTTTCTTGTGATATGCGTACGGCTAAACTATGCCGTTCATTGTGCTGCAAAGTAACATATCCTCATCAATAAACAGAGAATGAACAATAGTTTCACTGCATAAGTACTGAAAAAATGTTTTCTATCTATGGCCTACAATGAAATAACAGAAATTTGAAGGAATTTCCTGACATCTGACAGTGTACAGAAGATGGAAAGAATCAATTTTGTGTGGTGGCAACATGTGATATCAGCTGATTGTAAATAAGTGTGCGCGCTGCGCGGTCAATGACAGGACTATTCTGTACGTACTAAAAGTTTTCATTGCACTTTGTGTTGTTTAGTACTTTTCCATAATTACTTCAGCGAAAATTCTCTTGTGAAATCTTTCTTTTGTTCCTTGTGTTCATTTTTGTTAATTTCATGGTAAGACTACTTTGTTTCGCTAAGATAAAAGTAGATTGGAACTTCAAGAGAGATGAAGCATAAAATAGCTTATTGTGATGTAAATGACATTTCTTTAAATTTTTAAAAATGTTTTATATCAAAAGGAGGAAGAAGGCACTACCTTGTAAGCTAGCATTGATGCTGTGCAAGGCTGTATTTCCCTTCTGAAACTGGGCCGCTGGGTGAAAGTGAGATTCTGTGTGGGTGTGTGAGGGGGGAGGTGTGAGGAGTGGTGGGCAAGCGGCGGCAGCCAACCAGCCGACCCACCAACCCAGCGCCAGTCTGCCTTTCAGCCGGCTAGCGAACGCTCCAGCTAATGGCCCTCGCTCTCTGTCAGTTACATAAAGTTGTTCACTGTGTTGTGTGGAGTGGTATGGTGAGTGTTGGTGTCTTGTTCACAGGATGCGAAGCAACATGAACTCTCGGGGATTGGTGTGGATTGTGGTGCTGTGTACTGTGCATTTAAATGTAGTAAAAAGTTTAGAAAATGGATTGGCAAGGACTCCTCCTATGGGATGGTTATCATGGGAAAGATTTAGATGTAATACAGATTGTAAAAATGATCCAGACAACTGCATCAGGTTAGTAATTGCTCCTACATTTCTTTACAGTTTTCAGCCAGAATAACTGAATGACAGTTCTGCAAAAGATGTGAATCATCAATATTGTTCTTGCTAATTGTAATTCTATTGTTAGGTGTGCACAATCACTTTTGTTTTACATGCGTAGAATTGTAGCAAGGTTGCATGATGGTTTTGTTTTTGGATGTCGATTCATTTCCCTCACCTTCTATTTTCTTCTTTGTAATAATTATTGTGTACCTTCAACCAGTATTACTAGTTACTTTTTGTGAGTTACTTAAGCTTTATATAATATATTTCATTAAAAATTTGATATATTGTAGATAATATTGTGTAGGCATATCTTGTCGACATGTAGCTGAACTAACTTTTTAAACACCAGGTATCCCTCTCAGATCGGAAAAACTGAACATCTTAGACATTTTTTTGTGTGGGGATACTGATAACATTTAAAAATCTTTTAATAATGGATACAGGTGAAAGGGGGACAATGGTCAAGAAAATGATACTTGGAAGATGATCATGACACAATATATTGTACCACAAATGCTTTTAAATTTAGGATCACAATGCTTTTATTGAAAAGGAAAACTATCTAGCACCGAAGAAAGATAAAGAAATAAAAGTTCAAAAATTGCAAAAATAATCCTTCATTTTACTTACGTACTAACCTCACTTGATGGTCCTTGTTCCTTTCATTAAGAATTTATAAATGTTAATTTTGAACTTCATTCTAAAGTTATGTAGATTAAATTTGTAATTTTAAAAAAAGAATAAGAGAAAACTTTTTATTCTTCTTTTCCCAGTGTAATAAATGATTAAACGTCGTCAGTGAAATTTGGCTGTTATTTTATAGTATCTAATTAGACAATTTTCTGCATTTATATCACACTGCATCATAATTGTCAAATTTATATCATCTTATGCTTTCAACTGTGATATTCAATTTTTAATTTACTCTTTAATTGTATCTTCATCTTGAGAAAGAAACAAAATTTATTTTAATTCCATATGACATGTTTAGTGAAGATAACATGTCTTTTAAGCCTTGGAATTACTACAGGTAGATCACCAGTGTTTTATTTTTACAATGAAATGTTCTATTGAATACCTTCAAATTAATGATAGAAAAGTTATTTTGACAGTTATAGTGCATAAAACATTTCTGACTTAGTGATAAACAATTTCATTTTAAAACCATATTCATTTGCTTGTTTTACAAATGAATTCATTTTAGCATTTCAAAGTGCAATAATTTTTGTAAAGCATACCACAAATTTACTTAACAGTTAACTTGGATTTGTGTTTAAAACTACTGAATAAGAAGAAAAGTGAAAAATAGTTTTATTTGATTAAGGAAACTAAAGTCTAGTGACTATTGACTAGCAATCCTACCTGCTGTGTTGGGTAGTTTTATTTTAAAAATTGTCACTCAGTGATTTCAACTCGTTGTTGTTTTAATTATCATCTGAACCAATATTGTTGTTATTATGAAATCATGCAATTTTAAATATTATTCAGTATTAGATTACTTGTTTGACGCTGCATTAATTTTTGCATTGTTCAATACATTGCTTTTAATATTATATTGCATGTAATTTGAATTTGAAAGAATCATTGTCATTATAGTTTTTTTTCCTATTCTTTTTTATTTCTGCCTAATATTTATTCTTAGTATTTTCCATTGAACAAAAGTTGTGGATTTCATCTGGTATTTAAATTAATTATTATTTTATTCAGATATTTTTTCATCAATTTGATGTTTGTTCTATTTCTGAGAATTTCCAGGAAAACTTACCAAACATTCCATCACATTTGTTCCATATTCATTTTTGTCTTATTTCCAGGTTTCCCTTTCTCTTCCTTTCCCTTTCAGACTTTCACTCTCTCTTTTGTTCTGTTTGCATACATGCGAGTTTAGAGTACATGAGCTCAGCATTTCTGTTGATCTGTTAAGTTTGTAACTATAAATCTCATTTATTTTCCTTGAAAGCGACCTAATGAATTAGATGTTAACTTTTCTTCAATATTATTGTAGTGAAAACCTATTTCGCACTATGACTGACTTAGTGGTGTCAGAAGGATATGCTGCTGTTGGTTATGAGTTTATCAACGTTGATGATTGTTGGCTGGAGAAGGAACGTGGGTTCAGTGGTGAGCTTGTAGCTGACCGGGAACGGTTTCCTAGGGGAATGAAGGATCTTTCTAATTATGTAAGTCATACGAGAATCTTCTTCATTTTTCTGATGTAAGTAACAATGTGCATTTAGAAGCAACATGTGTCATGTTTTTGTCTGTGCCCAAAGATTTTGTTTGTGCTCAGAATAATTGGATAGTGTTATGCATCAAACAACTAAGCTACATTCTGGACTTTGAAGAGTAAAAATATTTGAAGTTAGAGATTCTATATTTGACAATTCTCACTATTTCTGAAAATATTCATGCTAATTTTAAAGAGACGTTGCTGATATTTTCGTAGATCTAGTTCGCCTTCAAACACATCAGAGACATTAGATTTTCGGTTTTCTAAAATTAGAACTTAATCTGTTGATGCATAACACTGTTCAGTGCAAGCTGCACTGTTAGCTGCAGAGAATGTTAAACTTTTTTATTTAAGATTTGTTTTCTTAATTCCTTATAATTGCATTTAAAGTTTCATTCAATCTGCCAGGAAACTTAAAATATTCTTGAAATTGGTTATTTCCCAGGCTTTAGAGAAATTGGCTTTAGGGCTTAAGAGAAAAGTGTTAAAGGCATTTGTAAATTTTTCACATTGCAATATTTACTTGTGGCAAAATATTTCAAAAATTGGTTTTACTTTGAAAATTAGATAAAAATATATAATGCACAATGGAATATTTTCCCAAATGTTTCAATTATCTATGTCAAACTTAACGAAGTTTAAGGACAATATGGTAATTATCACTATAAATAAAAATGTTTATTCATTTTGAAGTGGTCACGTCAAACGATTTAACGTTTTCTGGCACTAAAATTTTATTTTCATCATTAATTACATGAACTTAATATTTTGTGATTCTTTGAGTTTGTTCCAAGAGTTTAAAATAGATTAAAAATCCACTTCAAACTAAATTGAAAAGATTTGTGGAGTTACTATAGTTTTGATCTGTTACTATACAAATGAAACAGAGTTTTCGAAATTAGGTGCAAAGAAAAGAAGATATTGCAGGAATACAATGCTTCTGTAATTTTGTAGGTTAAAAACATTAATGGAATTGTTGTTTAGTTTTGAAACTAGCAAAAGTTTTCAAATGTTATTGTAAAATTAACCACATTCACTATCTAAAAAAGTATTATTTGTCAAGAAGTTTCTTTCAAGGCTTATTACAAATCCTGATAAATTTATCTCATCAGAAAATATTGCAACATTTTTCTGGCTAAAAGGACATCATAAAAATAATTTTACAACTGAAAAGCAGAGTTTTGAAACTAGCTACATCCAATCCATAACTCTAAAGTCAGTGAAGTCCAATTCCTTAGTTTTATAAATGCTCAAATTTATTATTTTTAGTTTCAAACATTGATAATTCAAGCAGCCAAGCCCAACATTTTTTGGTAATTTTCAGAAGGAAAAAACAATACCCTTATTGTGTAAATTCAATGCTATTCATGTAAGCAATGGATAACAATAGGTATTAGTGTATATTTTAAAACTATATTTAAGAGTGAAGTGTGCAATTTTTTGTGAAATAGCAAGAAGTGTACTTTCTGGTTTTCAATTTCAGTCCTTAGTAAACTTCCTGCATCCAAACATATGTTACCTTTTATAAATTTATTTGAAATTATTATATCTGAAAAAATATATCTCTGTCATTTGCTTAAATTAAACAAAACGTATTGAATTGAGCGTATGTATTTAATTTATAAAAAGTTGAGCAAAAAAAAGTTTTTTGTTAGTAATACTTTTTATAGGCAAGCCCAGCCTAAAACAAGAGATAAGCCCACTATATATCTGGGCAACTTTTTCCTTTAAATGTTTTTATTTGCATATGACACATTTTTCTAGGATATAAGTGTAATATATTACAAGGATAACATAATATTAACCAAAATAATAGAATTAATAATAACAATTATTGATTTTAGTTTAAGCAATTTGCATAGTTGTCAAGTGGTTTGGATTGCAGCAGATGTGTGCCATATCTCTAAATTATTTGTTTTAAAATGGCAAAATAAGGAATTGAATGTATTTATAAAAATCAAATGTTTTAGTACATAGGCCTGCATAGCAAATTTCAAATTCCTTCCCTCCTCT